GCTTTAAACTAAAAACTGTTCAACCACTGATAAGAAAATTTTGAAGTATTTTCATATGGAAACTACCCATAAGATATTCTCATACCAATTTAAATTGAAGAATTCTTTTTCATTTCTTACCCAAATCACACATAAATTATAATAAGAAACTTATTAATAAAGTTGCTATTATAAATAAACAATAAACAATTTATTTCTTAAGAAAAGTCTTCTTAAAATACACACTTACACACATTTAACCCATACAAACTATCCTAATCCTTTTATACCTTTTTTAATTCTTATTATTATTTTAACAACACAAAGTAAGTTTGAAGAAGAGTTGAGAAAGAGTTGAGAAAGCGTTGAGAAAGAGTTGAGTATGTGCAACAGCTTAAGTATGTTTATGTTTATATATTTGGCAAAAGGATTAAAATATTTTCTTCCAACAATTATTGTCTTTAAAGGTTCTTATTTTTGCCACTAGCATTCGTTTGTCGGTCTGTGGTGTTTATATGGTTTTGCGGTTAGCCAATTGGTCAGATTTTCTACTAACAAAGGATACAAAAAGTGAAAAAGAAATTATTATACGGTCATTTATAAACATTTTATAGATCATAACTATGATTATTAAGTATTTTGTGCTTGAAGAAATTTAATACGAAAAGTCTTAACTATTTGTGGCATTAAATTCATACAGAATTTATGGCAATTAGTGTTTTAAGAAAACTTTAAGCATACTTTAGGGCGTACAATAATGATATTTTAGTAAAATTATTTCCACTAAGAAAGTGAGTATTATGAGCGTTTATATTATTTTCTAACAACACAGGTACTACAAAAACATCTCGTGGATAATTTGTAGAGGTTTATGGAACGAATTATAAAATAATATTGTTAAGAATGTATTAAAGCTAAACTTTATTTGCATAAGTATATATCTAAGAGATTTATCACAGAAAGCATTTTCTTAATTTTACTAATGTTAACTAATAAAATGAATTATCGACTTTTTTGGCGTGAAAATAAATTACGGCGTACTTGAGAAATCTGATTTGGTTAATGATATTTTTAGCGAATTATCTTGCACCTTACCAAATCAAAATCAATTTAATCTTAAGCTTTCCGGTTACGGTGTCAAATTCAAAATTCAATTTCTTTGCAGTCAGATAAGCGCTGTAACTCATAAATTACTTCGGCATTTCAGCTCGAAGTAATTTGCTCTAGCACTCTAACACTGTGAAGGTAGAGTAGCGATGAAGATGAAGAAAGTTTTCGCGGATATCTTTAAATAGACACGTTAAACTGTCAATTTTTTTGTACTTATAAAGCGTATTTCCTTATAAATCTGTGCACTGATTTTGTATTTATGAGATTCAAGAGAGCATAGAAAAAATTAATAATAGATAAGCTTAAATGCTTATAATAGTAAAAACATTCAATCAGTTAAGTTTGAGTATTTATAATATAAAAAAAATTAATTTTATCGTAATTTACATCCAAAAATATTATAAAAAATTATTAAAATTTAGTAATTTGAAATTTTAATTAAAAAATATATGGACTAAACATAAACCACATTGAGTAAATTTCATATATTGAATACTTAGATATAAGCTGTCCATCAATGTTTTTCTATATACTCGTCTACAATTTGTTTTTTCGTTTTTTTTTTTTTTCAACTTTAAATCGGATTTTATTTTAGCCTCAGCTCTTCGCTCCAGGATAATGGTTTTAATGAGTTCAGTACTATTGTGCGGCTGTGAAAAATAGGAGGAAACATACTATTCACTAACTGGCTTTATGCGCTAAAATTTTATTTCAACTACACTAGAATACATACATATTTCAATATTTTTGTAACAACAATAATAGCTTCGAAACATTTACTATGCCTACTACAATCCCAATGCAATAATGGCAAAATTTGCCTAAATAGGCCCAATTTGCGTTTTCGGCTGCGTAAAACTAAATCTCTATTGTTGTGGGTTGGCTAAATACCAAAGTTAATGGTAATTTTTACCCTTTAGGCCACTATCAACTGCACATGCTTTTAGTATCGAAAAGTCCTCTTAGTGCTGGTCTAAAAGCCTAACATTCATTTACGTTGCATTTAGGAGCAGCGTTAATAATTTTAATATAAATTATCACATAGTTTGGATCTATTTTACAATTATTTTTGCTCTATTCATAATGATGAAGAGTAATTTTTTTAATTTTTGTAAATTACTAATTTTGTTTGGTAAATTATTGCTAGCAAATTACCTCAATTTTTAGTAGTTATTATTTAAAATATTTTGTAGTGCCCAAAACTAATGACTTAAATATATATATATATATGTATATGTGTATATAAATAATTTCACATGAATTTAATTTTTAAAAACAAAAAAATTATTTCAAAAAATTAACAAAAATTAAATATGCAAATAATATTGAAAGTACAACTTAGACTATATAAAGGTATATAAAAGTAATTAAATAGTACATTTCAGTACTTCAAAAATACTTGCAATAATTTATTAAGTTTGCTGTGATTTTTTCGCAGCTGTATAGTAACTTATAAGCATAAATATTTATATTTATTAAATTGTGTATTTATATAATTAAAAATAAAAATTTTAAAAATGTCCTTTATACCACCCCATTTGATGAAGGGCTGTCCTGTATGATGAAATGCCGATTTATCGAAAATCGTATATTTTAATATTATGCCGAACGTAGTTGATTGCAGTGTCTTGAGATGATGCTGCTGTCAACATTTAATTGCAGTAAAAATAAATTAAAGCAATAAAGAAAGTGCAGGGGAGATTATAATTGTCTCGGCTTAGGCTATACCTCAAATTATTCACAAAGTCTAAAATGCTTTTCAAAAAGGGTGCTTTGTACCTGCAATCATAGGATCATCACCATAAAAAAATAAATAATAATGAAAGTAAAGTTATAAGGTCTAGGACTCAAAGTGAATTAAGATTTAAACTGTGAAAGCAGTATATGGCGTAGTACCAACTGCAATTTCTAGAAATATAGTTGGATTGTTTTCTTTTTAACATTGGCACGAGGTTAGAAGATGATTGAGACGTTCCAGCGAGATTTGCTGAACACGTAATAAGAACCAAGAAGATTTTTCTTGACGCAGAAGTGCGTGTATAAGCAAAAATGATGCGGAAGTCTAAACCCTGGCTATTAGCAAACAAGGAAGATGACAAAAAGCCAATAAAAACAGGAACATTCCCGAAGTAATACCAAAGTGGTTTCAGGAAGGTGTGTAAGAGTCTGGTACATTGATATCATAACGATGGTACTGACGTACCATGATGGGTCTCACAGACCTTACAGCAAAAGCTTGGCTACAGTATAACCTTTGTTATCAGTAAGAGATAGCAACTTATCAATTTAATAGATCCTAAGATTACTGATTGACAAGTGCTTGACAAAGACATGTTAACGGACGACCATCTTGTCGTATAACGACTGGCTATTCAAGCAGGTTTCTAATTGATTATAAAACAATTTCTAACATTTTTACATGAAATTGTGAAAATACTAAGTGAATTTAAAATATTAAATGTTGGAATTTATATTCTATGACGATATTCATATTATAACATTAAGTTATTAATATATTACTTCACATTGACTAACCAATTTAGTGATTTATATTCACTTAAATATTAACTAAACTAAATAAAAAAATTAATTTACAGCAAATAAATAAAACTTCAAGTTCGAAACCACAAGTCAAATACTGCTTTGGCTGAATTGACCAATGAACACTGACTCTAAGGTTTAAATTTGGCAGAGCATATATTCAAGCCTTGATATTGGACAAATACCAAAAAGTTATTACCAAGTAATTAAGTATATTAAATAATTCCATGACTACTGATAATGGCTATTTGGCAATACCAGAAACAGCTGTATGGTCAGCCAAAAATTTAATTTATTATAAAGAATAAAATTTTTTTGTTGTAATTTACTACTATTCAAAATACATTTTTATTGAAAACAATAGTTTATATTAAGATTATAGTTTTTTTCTCAAAGAGGGAAGTTAAAAATCAATTAAAAAATATTAAATCGTTTTTATTTATAATATAAGCAGAAGCTAATGCATTTTTTACTTCACAAATTGAGTTGTATTATGATTTAATCGGATCTATATAAAGTTATTTAGTATTTTTGACTCTAAACAATACATATTTATATTACAAGTTTATTTGAGCTGCAAATAACCAAAAATTGCCTCACTTTTGGGTCCACCATGCGTATACGCAACATTTTCTAGTACGTGCTCTGATACTATTATACTATGATGTACTTGTCGTTTGTGCGTGCAATTGTGGTGGGAAATTATAATGAAGCTTAAATCAGCTGTTGAATTTAACCGCATAAAACTCGAAAATAAATTTCATAAATTGAATTTTAAAAAACTTTATTTTAATATTTTAATAATGCATTTCACTAAAATTGCATATTTAAATTCAATTGCAGTCAAATTGAATTGGACTTGCGGTTGCTGTTATTTGTTGTGGATTTACTTTCATAATTTGCATATGCGTATGAAATTCGTATAAAATTTTTACTTCAAAAATTAAATAATTGGAATAATTAATAATAGTATTACCTGCGTTAAGCTTATTAGTAACCGTTCAACCAATCATACTACCATTATACCATAAATGATTTCATATCAACTATAAATTCAATACTACCTGATGAATACTCGTACTATTGAACCAATTGACAGCTTACATATTGTTCTTTAATTCCGTTTACTTAAATTAACGCATATTTTATTTAATACTCGTGCTATGGCGAACATATCAGTTTATTTTAAACTGAATAAATATGATTTAAATTTTTTATTTTTTAAATATAATTTAAGTTTTTTATACCTTCATATAGAAGAAATTAGTCTATTAATCTATTAAGTATATAGTATTAAAAAAATAATTTATGTTATAGTGGACTTTCATTATCTAAACTAATATTTTTATTTTGTATTTTTTTATTTTCAGCAAAATCAATACCACTACATTGTGTTGTAGAATCAGTGCATTCCCTACAAGCATCACTTAATATTGATACACGAAATCCTTGGAAGCGTCGTCCAGAAACAGATAGCTATGTTATTGTGGCAGCAGCAACGCCATGGTCTGAGATAGTGCAAACTGCTCTGCAACGTTTGGGTTATTCTCAGGAAACAGCGAATACAGCAAGAGGTACGTTAATATGTAGGAAAATATAAATCAAAAATTTATCAATTAATATATTTATTAATAATATTAATATATGTTATATATTATAAATATATAAATATGTATCGCTCAAATAAATTATAAATTTATAAATATCTATATATATTAAGATTATATGAATTTTTTGCTCTACTAGGCTTATTGCCTTTATATGAAGGATAAAAAGAATTTGTTTAAGTATTATTTTTCAGGATTTGCTATTTTTTCGTATTTATTTTAACAAAATACGCTGTAAGATATGAGATATATCTTAATCAAAAATGAACAAAAATAAAATATTTATAACTAAATCATTTTTTATATTCAAGAATAATTAAAAATAAATATACTATTAGAACGTAAATGTAGTACTATAATAAAAATCCTTTTCATATTCGCTTAGAAAAAGATTTTTATATATTTTTTAATGAGCAAATAAATTTCTATAATAATTTTAGACAATTTTTTTATTTTTAAAAATATTCAATTTGTATTTTATATTTTATAGGTTCATTAATTATAAAAAATTGGAAACCCATACCGCTTGAACAGATTTCTGATAATCCCACAATACCTGTTTGTGATATCATTGGTGAATTGACTTCTGTGGTGACACTACGTATTGTTATATTACGTACCAAAACCTCACCATTTGGTGAGATTAAAGATAAATTATTAAAATTATTAGTTTTACAATCACATGCAGTACTACGATCCACCGGTTGTCCATTGGATGAGGTAAGTCTTCTAAAATTATGTCTAAAAAAATTTATTTTTAATTAAATATATATTTTATTATAATTTGAATATTTTTTTTTTTATTAATTCAATTGAGTAAATGAGCCGTTAGTAAAATGAAGCAATACTAATATATATATTCATATATATATATATCGATATATATACATATATATATAAGTCTACTTAAAGCAATTAATTCGAAAAGTGGAATGAATCTTTAAGTTAAAATTTTGCATTAACAGTTACATTATATTAGAACTATCTGGAATCATTTTTTTCTAATACTTACTATATTTGTATGACATGAGTGTTGTTCTTATTGTTCAATATTTATATAAATTAATATATTAGAGATTATAAGAAAATAGCGAGATATTTAAAACGAAAGAATGTTAAAGTTCCTTTATAAGATATCTTCTATATGAAGACAAGTATCTACGAGTATTATTTCTTTGCTTTTAAAAATTTATAGTATCATAAAATTCGCTTAATTATAAATATAACATTTAACAAATAAATGAAATACTTTCTTTTATGTGATTATAAAATTGTGTGTATTTTAGTACCAAAACGCATGTTCTCCATCTTTTTCTTGATGTATACTATTTAAGCGTTTTCGTAATGCAAAATTAATTCTTAAACTTTTTCGTCAATTAATTATTCACTTTGAACATAATTATACTTATCGGTTTATCATTAAAATTTTATGTCAAATTCTTTGAAATATTTCATCGCCATTCTTTACTTCTACGAAATGTCGAAATGAAACCTCTTAAAATCACAAAGTCTATTAACGAATACATAATCCTTAAAACTACTTCATCTCCAACTACAAAAATAATTATTTTTTTTTGTGCGTAATGCTGATGTATATCATCTACGTCATTAAGTAAAGAGATACATACAAATATTTTTTATTAATAGACATTGAAGTTCTAAGGTTGACAGCTTCAAAGCAGGGTTGCTTAGTTAAAAAGACGTGGCTTAACTATTTACATATCATTAAATCTATTTATGAGATTAAATCGTAAACTATAATAGTCAAAGAAATTTCTATAAAATTTTAATCCCTTTCAGTTACCTTATTATGATGTTTTATTTTAACTTTTAACAGAAGAAAAGTTTCATTCTTCATAATGATTTGAGTAAACAAAAATTTTCTATTAAAATAAATAGAAAAAAAAAAAATAAAATAAAATAAATAGTATACTACCATTAAATAATAAATTTTATTTAAATTAAAGAATTTTATAAAAGTATTATATTATTATATTTTATTATATTATGTATTATTGTTAATTTTTAGTAAATCAATTCATATCAAGAGTTAATTTGAGTACACAAAAATTTCTATCAAAATAAATAAAAAAAATATTATAAAATAAAATAAAATAGAAAAAATGAATAGTATTAAATAAAAGTTATTATTTAAATTGAAAACTTACCATATATAAAAAGCTTCATCTTATTATATTATTATATAAAAAATATATTTTTTTAATTTTTAGTAGAACAATTCATATCAAAAGTTGATTTGAGTACTTAAAAATTTCTATTAAAATAAATAAAAAAAAATAATATAAAATAAAATAAAATAAAAAATGAAAAAGTATTAAATAATAGATTTTATTTAAATTGAAATATAATATAAAAATTATTAAACTATTATAGTATTATGTAGAAAATATATTTTTTTATGTATAAAGCTGATTTGACTACACAAAAATTTCTATTAAAATAAATAGAAAAAAAATAATATAAAATAAAATAAAAAAGAAATAAAATAAAACAAAATTAAATAAAATAAAATAACGGAGAAAGTTAAATAATAAATTAAAAATTACATTATTTAAAATAAAAATTTTATATATGTGATCTCTATTTTTAAATTTTTTAATAGAACAATTCATATTAAAAGCACACAAAAATTTCTGATAAAATAGAAAGGATAAAATAGTATAGAAAAATTATATAGAATTAAACGATAGATTTTATTTCAAGTGAAATAATATATTAAATAATATAATAATATATTTTTGAAATTTTTAGTCAATCAATTCATATCATATAGAATAAGGAGTTCTCTTATTAGTTTATTGACGTAAGCCGTCGTACCTAATCTAGGCACATTATACAGGGGTCTTAAATTAAATTTTAAGTAATTTATTTTTTTAATATAAACTTTTTATTACAATAAAATTGTCTTAAAAATCCCCTTCAACTAATATTTCGTTAGTTTGTTTTATTGCACGTCTTAATATTGGCAACTTTTATTAATCACATGATAAAAGTCTCTCTGCCGTAATTTAATCCCGATACTTTGAGGGCCTCTGTGTGCGTATTTTTGCTAGCAAATAAATTAATTAAATCAACTTGAGTGCCCAATAACAATAAATAATAAATTTTATATTTATTTAATATATAAAAATGTGTTTATCTGCTAATTGAACTACGCTAGCAAATCGCATTTGGCTCCGTACGACTTACCATAGCCAGTTTTATTATATATTTTGGTGTTTTGAAAATAGAATGGCTTAAGTGATTTGTAATTCTTCCTTATCTGATAATAGTCACTATCTGTTTTTGCTGGTATGCCTCTATATAAGCTTATCTTGTACTTACCTTTCGACATTGTTGGTTATTGGTTTTGTTATTGGTAAATATATCTATTCAAGTAGATTTTTTCATTGGAAATCGAATAGTTCTTCCTGAAGTCTTAAGCTTTGGTAGCTTAGTCATATCAAGGGTTGGCGATGAGTACACGTCAAACTTTCATACCCCATTAGCTACAACACTGCTCTGCTGATATAACAATTATGTAAGTAATTTAATCACTTACACTCACATAGTGTATATCTAATAATTACCTGCAGTCGGACACAATTCCATATCAGCACTGGTGTGGCCAATTTCGTTTTGATTTAACGTTTTGCAATCACGCTTACCTTTTTATGGCTTACTGAATCCCATACTTGAGAATTTTATGAAAGCATTCGCTGTGATTTTTATGACTTGTGCTTAGTTTGTTGTCAAAAATAGGTTGGGAATTTAGATATAGCGTTGGCATTAGGCAAAGATTTGCACAAGGGATTTATATTTGGCCGGCTTTGACAGGAGATTACTACGTTACTACGTGTTTTTATAAATGTTTTATATATACTGTATATATTATATGTATTGGGAATTTTTACAATGACGTCATTTACTCAAAATACAGCAAAAGTTGTTAAGCGGTGGATAAACAAACCGCTGAAGTGTTAGTTCAAAATATTTTACTTCAACATTATTATTGATAACAATTATTGCTAAATCTTTATCAAATTGTTAAAAACAAATTTATTATATTCTCATATCATTTTTTTTCTCTTACAGTCAATACTTTCGCAGCTATGCCGTATCTCATATCAAAACGCGTATGCATTTCCTGACATCTCCGAGGACATACGAAGAAAATTTGAACAATGGTGGTCAAATCAATTATCGCCTCAAGCTGCTATGACTCCAAAAATGCTTCCTTTTATGGCTGTACCACAACCAGTTGCGAACGATATGGACTTTAAAGTTGGTTCTGCTGCAGTGGCCGCAGCAGCTGCAGCGGCAGCAGCACAAGCAGGCCTACATGCGGCAAGTGGCAATGCAAGTGTATCCAGTTTAGGTGTACCGACCGGCATTAATGCAAGTCATGAATCGTTAATGTTAAATGAGCATGGTGGACCAGGAGTGCCCGGAAATAGTGCATCGCATCACCCAGGCATGTTGGTACATCCCGCAATGCACGCTTCTATGCACCATCATCATCATCATTCACATTCCCAGTATCCAAATCAGAAAACACGCATGCGTACAAGCTTTGATCCTGAAATGGAGTTACCAAAACTTCAGAAATGGTTTCAAGAGAATCCACATCCTTCCCGACAACAAATACAAACTTATGTAGTACAATTGAATGCTTTGGAATCGCGACGAGGTCGCAAACCATTGGATGTGAACAATGTTGTTTATTGGTTTAAGAATGCGCGTGCTGCACAGAAACGTGCTGAAATGCGTGGCGGTCTGGGAGCTATTGGTGCTTTAGGTCATGTAGCTATGAATGGATATTTGAGTCAACACGGTCAATTGAGTCAAAATTCAGGCAGTAGTGCTGGTAGCATAACTGGCAGTCAACAGCTGAGTGGTGTTGGTATGCCGTTGGCACATGACTATCTCAAAAGTCCTTTGAGTTTAAAATCGGAAGATATAGATACAATGTCACAACACTCAGATGACATGGATGAAGATACAAGTCGCCCATGCTCCCCACAATTGCCACTATCATTGACAACACATGAACGTAATCGCAACTCACCCACAAATAATGATGAACATTGCGCTGAAAGTCGTCGCACAAGCTCCTCGAAAGATGAGAATGATACACATAACTTAATTAATGGTACGCCACTACAAATGGAGCGATCATGCTCGCGTGACTACAATGAAGAGGATACTGTAAAACGTGAAAAAGATATTGATGAGAATATTGAAAGCAATAAAAGTGATACAGTAACCACACCAAATGATGTGCAACAGAACGAAACTGAAACTAACAATAACTCAACCAATTCCAATAACAATAATAACAGCAATCCTAGTAACGAACAGGTAGAACAAGATTTAGCTGAGAACTCATCACCGAAGCATATAACAACTAAAGAGGAAGATGACTATCTTGATATGGATGAAGATGATGAGGATAATGAAAATGATACCAGTCAATTGGATGATTTTCGTTCACCTTCACCGGATATGACGAACTCAATGGCAGATCGTAAGGATTTACAATTTCCGATGGTACCCAACTCTATGTTCTCACAATCGTTCATGTATATGAGTCATTACATGCCTGGTTTTGGTCAAGCAGCTGCCGGCCATCCACATACACATCATGCCATTGCGGCTGCAGCTGGTATGCAACAGAGTCCTTTAATGAGTCATAGTGGCTTAAATTTATCTAGCCTATCAAATGAAGAACGTCGTAAACGTAATCGCACGTTTATCGATCCAGTTACAGAGGTACCAAAACTGGAACAGTGGTTCGCTATGAATACACATCCATCACACAATTTAATACTGAAATATACAGAAGATTTGAACACGATGCCATATAGGTAAGAATGATTTAAAATTAGATATGTATATATATATATGTATATGTGTATACTTATATTAGAATTATTTAAATAAATCAACTCAATAAGAATTCGATTAATCCCGTCTGTATAATTCGAAGACGGCTTATTTGGGTATTTTAAAATTTTTTAATTTACATGTATTAATTTTTCTTATAAGTCAATTCTATGTATTCTTCATTTTGTGAAAAAGTCCAAGGTACAAATATACATAATCATGTTCATAAAGTTAACACTACATATTATATATAATACAGTCCTTCAATTTTATCCAATAACTGAATTGATCCACCTTGTAAAGCCTAATTCGATCAAATAAAAATTAAGTTCTTTACTAATTAGATTTCTCATAGGTTGACACAGCTATATATAAAGGGAAATTTTGGGGTTCTCCACCCATACAATTGACTTTTGTATTAATTTTTTAATCAAAATAAATATAAAAATTTGCTTTATATAAATGCTATATTCAAGAGAAATACTTTTTTCCCGGTTTCCGGTAAATCTGCCTCAGTGTTGAATGTTTGAACCCCATAATGTTACAATTTATATTGATAGGTATGAACTTATCAATATTACAAAAAAGAATCTCATATTTGCTTTGCAATTGTTTAGCGGGTTTGCAACGACGATTGATCAAGCTAGGGACTCAATTATTTTAGGATCTTCAAGACCTCTTTGTAAAAAGCCTTTTAGTCTGTGGTAAAAATTCAAGATCGTTTTAAGCCCTTGACTTTTATACGAGAACAAATTAAAACAATTGATTTAAGTGGATCCCTAAAATCGTCGGTAAAATCCTATCCAAGCATTTATAATAAGTAGAAATATGCAATATTATATAATTGTTAGAAAACAAATATACAAAACAAATATATATAATAGATATATAAAATATATATATAATTTCTATTATATATATAATATAATGTATAATAATTTATATGTATCATACATTAAGACTGAAAAGTTTTCGGAAATTCTCATTTAAAATTCGCGCGCTGTATATTTTTCGATATTTTAAGTTTATGTAGTTTGGCAGCACTTTCCTTAATTACTATGCCAAAAATGAGCGCGATCTGTCAGACAGTTCGTTTACGGCAGCTGTTGAAACCAGTTCACCTCAGTAGTGCGTTGCGAAATGTCTTCGACGGTCTTACGACCGTCCTGAAAGGCTTTGTACCACTCATAAACTTGAGTTTTCGATAAAACTGATTCCCCATAAGCCTTTTGTAGCATTCGCAACGATTCTGCACACGAAATTCGTTCGAAACACAAAATTTGATGCAAACTCTTTGTTCAATATTTTTTTCCATTGTTTTTTTCGCAACGCACTACTGAGGTGAACTGGTTTCAACAGCTGCCGAAAACGAACTGTCTGACAGATCGCGCTCATTTTTGGCATAGTAATTAAGGACAGTGCTGCCAAACTACATAAACTTAAAATATCGAAAAATATACAGCGCGCGAATTTTAAATGAGAATTTCCGAAAACTTTTCGGTCTTAATGTATATATTCCTAATAATAATATATGTATCATATATATGTACCAACTAAAGGATCACTCTCTTTTATCTTTCCAGGCAAAAGTTTCCACGGTTAGAAAGCAAAAATGTGCAATTCTGGTTCAAGAATCGTCGTGCTAAGTGTAAGCGCCTCAAGATGTCGCTGTACGATAACTCACAATTTCCCGCTTTGAACTCATTCGTGCACAAATACGATGAACGTGATTGAAATATGCTGGATATGGACTGTTCGTTCTTAACTGAAAGCCATAATAAGATATCTATATAAATGTTATTTATTAATTCGACTTCTGCAACTTATATGACATTCTTCAAAAAACTACTAGACTCATATCAAAATTATTAATTATAAATTATAAATTATAAATTACAAATTCGTTTAATGTGTTATTAAATAATCTAACGCATAAATCCAGCCAATTTTCTAGTTTTAAGACTTTTAACTGAATTAGTTTCCAATTAGATTAAAAAATTTAATAAATTTTGAATACTTAATAAATAAAATTAATAGCTAAAAATGACAAATAATTACGAAAAATTTAGTAACGTTTTAATTAAGTTTTAACAATTGTGCAAAAAATAATGTTAAGACCCAGTAATTTGCATATATGCATTTTTTTTTAATGAATGATAGTTTTAAGAAATTTTCTAGTTAATAATTAAATTAATTAAAGAACTTCAATTCCGCATTGTTCTAATTACTAAAGAATTAGTTAATATAGTAGTTGAAACCAAAGAATTGTATCTATTTTAACGTGAGCCGATAGAACTCACCCAACTTAATGCTAAATTAAAAATTCGTATAAATTAACTTGTAAATAATTAAAGCATTTTCTTTGCGAAATCATTTATTGCCTTATTTATTATTAATGTTTATTTATAAAAAAAAAATTTACATATCTTTAAATTTTAATTTAAAAAATTAAACCTTCTTATTTTAAAAATTCATTATGTTTTTTATTTAAATCGGTATAAAATACCAAAAGTTTGAACATAAATATTACCAGTAAAAATTAAAATAATTAATAAATTTTTATAAAAAAAAATTACTGTAACATTTGAGTATTTAAATTATTTCCATTCTCATTTAAATAGTCACGAATTTTTGCATAAAATAAATATTTTAACTAAAAAATTATATCAACTGAAATTGTAATAAAAATTAATTATTTATTACTCTATTATAAAAACAGGAACTCATACATATATTGCATTAGTCATATATACAATATATTGAAAATTGTTTATTTTTAGTTATAAAAAATCAGGACTTCATATACATAATTATTACTTCCGTATTGTTTTAATAATATATAATGAAAATTGTAAAATATTTAGAAAGTAATTTAAAAGTAATTCAATTTAATTTATATAAAATATAATTAATTCAAATAAATAAAGAACTTTTAAGTGTTAAAATAAAGAACTGTGTTTTTTATATTGAATATTTAATTTGCTACAAAAAGTATCAGAAACAGAGATATATTCATTTTGTAGTATGAGCTAAAAATGTTCTAAGTAAAAAGTTTTTAAATATAATGGATATCCAAGTCCAAGTAGTCGAGTGATTAATTACAGTGACGGATCGGGAGATACTTTTCCACCTCTCACAATAAACAATTATTTGCCGTTTTAATACCTTCACAAAACACCCTTACAGATATACTAGCACCAATGACTATACTTACCAACTGTGATGCACTCGGCCACAGAAGAAACAAAATATTAAGTACATACCAACTAGAGGATAAAGACCTTTAAAAACTTTGTCCGGAGGAGCTGGTTCGACTCCTCGAATTACTAAATGTCTAAATACAGAGGCATGTACAATAGATGAAACTAGTCGCAGTGCAGAAAGGTGTTAGCCTAAGCCATAAACCACTACATTATATTACAATGGTTATACTTATTTCAAATACAGTTACCTACACCCAATATAAAGGAATTACTGTGTAGTACCACTGCGATAATAATTATAATATATAATATGCGCTACTTGAAATAGAGAAGAGAAAGTCTTGTGTTATATATTGAAAAAACTAAATATACGAAATATAGGATTAAATTAATTTCAGTAAAGGGGAAAGTGTGAAAAATGTGTAGATTACTTTTGATTCTATACTATTTTTAAAACCTTTACGATTCCATATAATTTTTCTAGTTATTTCTAACTAATTAGTTAGTAATAAATTAATTCAAAATATTTAGATGATATTGTAACCAGAGATAACGAAATCGTAGAGATGTTGAAAGCAGTCAAACATATTTGGGCAAATCCTTTATATGCCTTAAAGTACCTCATCTTGAAGCGGGTTTTAAAAGAGAACCATTAAAAAGGATAGAAATGAGTTGCTGTCAAAAGAAGAGAAATGAATTGCCAAAAAAATAAAAACTAATCTATTTCTCACTAACTCTCTCAGTTGACATATGCGGAGCAAGTATCTTCCTTATAGAAATATTTTGCACTATTTTGTACTTCCATATGCCTCACCAATTTCTAATCTAGTTATTTATAGTTCTTTAGAATGCCATTTACAGTTAACATTTTTATGTAGTTCTAAATAATTTAACCGGTAACTTAAATTTCTTGAGATCAATTTGTGCATTTTGGTGCAGTATATAACTACCATATATATTATATATATTTATATAATTTATATTATATATATATATTTAATATATATATTATATATATTACATATTTATATATATATATATATATTTATTTTTAAATGGTATGTATATTTTTTTGTGGGTTTTGTTTTGAGTCCGAAATGGTTGTACTACTATCTGTAAAATATTTCAGACGCATTAGTTAGTAATAATTTGCACTGCTGAATTTGGTATAATAATCACTAGCCAAGCTCTTAATTCATATATCTCTAAACCTTAATTTTAAAATCAACTTTAAAGAATATTCATCGTTTATTGCTACAGTTAATCATGTTTCGACACCGTATGCTAAAGACAAGGAAAAATGAAGTAAAGCCAGGGACTCAAAGTTAACTCTTGGAGAAATTCCAGAATATTCCAAACCTATTATCTATTAACTGTCCCATCTTATAAAAATTACAGGTGCAAGTTTTACAAGTAAATTTCTCTATTAGATTTTCATTGTATTATTATGTGTTATATATTGAATTCAATATACGAGTGGGTTTCAAAAAGTTTTGCCTCCAACAGAGAATCAATAGTTTACGCACTTTTTGCTTTAAAAACAAATTTTATATTTTCAGATTGGTTCAAAAGTTTTGAAAGGAAAAATGAAATTGAAAAAATGAAGTGTGAATTTTTTAATAAATTAGTTTTTTTATTGAAGTCTTGCGCAACTTTAATACATATATTGTAACAATCTTTAAATAATTTTATACCACCTCTGATTTTCCGGATGCTCTGCAAAATACTGTTCCACGGCTGCAATGAATTCTTCATTCAATGAAAGCCACTTACTACGAAGTAATTGCTTCAAATTTCTCAAAAAAAATTCAGAGGGAGCCAGATCTGAGGAATACGATGGGGGTTCAAGCAAGTCGGACTTATTATGTTCAAAACACTTGTATAAACTCGTACATTGTGTTAATGAAAAATTACTTTTTTCTTCCGTAAGCTGGGTATTTTTTCATTTATTTTTTATTTAACTGGTCCATAAAGTCCATTCATAATTACACTTTTTGCCTTTTTTAAGACAAGCAATCAATAAAACTTCTTTAGCATCCCAGAAAAGTGATGCTATAACGTTTATTGCTACGGATCTTTGTAACTTCACCTGTTTTAGAGCGGAACAACCAACTTCAGTCTACTGCAAACGTTCTTGTTTAGAATCATGATAGTAGATCCAGGTTTCATCCATAGTTTTAAAACGATGAACACATTCGGTTTCATTCTGCTCATAACACTGCAGATTACGGTGAGAAATTTGTTTTCGATTCAGTTTTTGTTGAATTGTCACAGAATGCGGCACTGACTATCCGTTAGCTTTTTCTTACGTTTTTCTTCTTTTAAAATGTAAACTACTCGTATGTCTAAAATGTCTATGGAAGCAATATTTCGTGTTTAGTCAAATTTTGATATCTATGTATATGTCGTAGACTTTCTCATTGATTTCTGGTATTGTGAAACCATTAACGTAGTAACGTAGTAAGAAATGTCCCTTATACTGTTCAATGGATCTCATTGTGGAATACTAATACAGCCTTCTATATATTTTAATATCATTTATCTGATCATGATTAATGCCTTAAAGTTCCGGTATATGGTATGTGAAGAGTCTTAATTAATTTGGTTTTGCTCCTTCTAATATCGAATGACTCATTTATTAAGATTTTATTTGCATTACTGTACTAGTGACAGCTAAAACCGACAGACTGACCTACTTAGCTCTATTTAATCTCAGAGTAATCACTAATCGTACGGGGCGGTACGCAGATGTTGGATCGGTTATTGAATAACCACGAAGCTTATAAGTAATACACAAATTAATTAGGAGATGGGTGTGACTCAGCAGAAACCCCCCAGCTATCAAGGGTAAAAGTGCCCTGATGCACTAACTCGGAAAGGGCTCAACATCTACATCAACTAGTGACAGCTACAGGAAAAAATATATTACTGTTCTGTGATAGGTACATCAATTTTTTGCTCTCATTTACTCTATATATGTTTGCTATAAATAAATAAAATAAACAAATAATTTGTATTCCAATAACTGCTTTCTTTTGAAGATCTTTCATAAAATGTTACCATAAAAAGCCGATCAGAATAAATGGATATGGATAGATTTTTCGATTTACAACTTTACGTTAATGTGTAAGGATACGAAACCACACTTTTAGTACGAAAGGGTCCATTACATTTATTGGTTCATAGAGGTATACTATGTTCTCATTCGAACCGAATGTAACTGACAACTGAAATCGTATTGTAATAAAATATGAACATTTTTACGAATTTAATAAAAGCAGTCATTACACATTATAATTTATATGTGATTACCGCGTGTGCAAGTTAATTTTTCATATGCAAAACTTAACATAAAGAACATTGCAAGTTCCTATATCAGCGAAAATACACACACCCACTCATTCAACCGAAATGAATTATGGACTTACACAAAAGTTCATCTTTGTTGAGAAAAAAAAAATTATATAACATAAAAATGAGCGGATACGGAAACAGAGAATGCACCCTGTGGCAGCTAACTAAGTACATTTTGGGGTGGAGGAGAAGAATTTGAATTTGTACCTCAAACTCGATGTATTCTTTTATGAAATGAAAGATATTCTCCTTGTGCTAATGTGTAATAATGTGTTTCGGTATTTCTTACTTATT